AAAAACGGAAGCTTCCAGAGGAAAGCACTGAAGGGCGAGCCCGTACAAGAAGGAGGATCAACCAAGCTACGGTCTGCAGCTACCTTTAAAGACTGGGCCCAGAAAAGGATGTCTGAATATTACAAAGATAAGTAAAATTTTATGTTACTTTACAAACTTAAGTTAATCTTTCATTCTTACTGCAAGTGGCAGATTTCAAGAAGTTTTACCTCATGCGAGGTCTACCTTTATCGCCAAAAGGGCGAGAAATGAGTTGTGACCGATTTTCTTATTGTTTTTTCAATTACTCGCGCGTAAAACTAAAGTTGATGTATAATAGCGTTGTGTAAAGACTTAAATATTGTAAAAAGTTATTGTATAAATTTTATTTAAAACATTCTAACAAGAAAGAAGTTTTAGTTTGAAAGACTTTTTGAAATGTAGTATTATTTCAATGTAGAAAGAATTGGCACTTGCTTTGAAAAGAATAGAAGTTAACAATGTACTACTAATGTATGTTTTCAAATGTGTAAAATTAACGGCATCTTGATATGTTCTTGTATACATGTGAACTGTTATTTTGAATGTTTAGAAATACGTGATATGGTAAAAGTGAAAGTAATGTTAAAAAATTTGTTATTCGTGTGACTGTAAAGATTAAATCATGGTGAATATGTGTTAAAGGTTGAATGATGTAGTTAGGCTCTCTGACGCTACACTTTAGAGTTAGCCACTTTCAGAATAGTACCTCAGGGTCTAGAGTTGAAATTAGGGTGTGTTAAGAGGTCTCGTTATGTTGAATTTTAACACGTTAGTGTTTTGATTGTAGGAGGAAGTGTTGAACACATAGACAGAAACACATTCGTGTTTGGTGTTTTTACAACACATGTCAGAGAGCACGGGGAGAGATAATTAAAATAGTCATGAATGAAATAAGAATGTTAAGAAAGTATATTCTATATGTTATTTGCAATGTCATTCTGTAACATTTCATTAAACTAGTTTTCCTTCCAGATCTCTGGAAGGAACCAGAATTGAATAAAGCTCCTGTTTTTGATGCAGTACAGATGAAAAAGAAAAAAGATTGTTGTATATTCCGGGAGCTGCTATTGTAACAAATTTCTTTCTTTTAAAATTTTCTAGTTTCTAGCTAAGTTATGATTGTAAAAGTTTGGCCTCGCGTTAGTTTCTAGAGCTAAAAGTTTTCAACAAGGTCGTTTTAGACCTCAGTTTCAAACTAATTAACTCTGGCGGGAAGTATGTAAGGATCTTAAGTTTTACTAACGTTTATTTTATTTTAAATCTTTACTATCACTTCTTATTTTCTACTTCCGGCCAGAATTATAAGCGTGAAGGAGTTTATGCAAAGTTGTCTGGCGAACGCCAAGTATTTAAGTGTGGCCTTTTTGCCAAGCAGAAGAGAGGAAGCCGTGAGTTCGAAGCAGGCCGCTTACCTTAGAAGTTACGCAGTTGCTACTTTGCCTTCCAGGCCAGAGGTTTTAATCCTCTTGATAAATTAAACGTATTGTAGTGTTCACAGTCTCTGTGCTACATACGCTTTCTGTTATTATAAGGCCAATCTTATTCTAAAGTTAAATTAGAGTTTAGTTTTATTTTGATATCTTTTAAGTTAGACCCCGAGTGGAGGGTCATTGTATTCCGAAGTACGGAAGTCATTGTATATAAAGAAAAAAATAAAGGGTTTTGTATACCCTTCGTCTGTATCCTGTCTACTTACTACAATTAGTGAACATAGCTTTAGTAAGCTCTCTGTTCTAGTCAGGTCATTGTATGTTTCCGAAGAAGGTTAGAAGAAACATTGAACCTGATAACCTCAGTTACGAATTTTTGCAAAAATAATATTTGTGTCGTTTCGGAATATATTTACATATAAACAATTCATTTTCCCCTGCAGTTAAAAATTTAGAAGTGAAGGAAAGAACGAAATTGCTGATGAGTGTCTATAATTCGTGAAAGGTACTTTCTGGTAATTTTTCTCCAAGGTTAAAAACTTTATCAAAACCGAAATGCCATGTGGAATGATGTATATGAAAACTGTAATGAATGATAAAGAAGCTTATATAGTTATTTGCTTATAGATATGCATTTTTTTTCTGCAAGCGTCAAAGATAAATGTAGTAAGTATAAGAAAGAGAATTGCTTGTCAATATTTATTTTTGTCTCTGTTGAGAATTTTTCGTAATTTATTTATATTTGGTTTAAGTAAGTTATTTAGTGTTTAATTAAACTATTATAATTATTTTAATCACTTAACTTTAATATTCAGCTGCCAGTTATAAAATATTTCCTGAGTTATAAAGATAACCGACAAAAATTTCTTGCAGGTACGAAGCTTTAGATTTCAAACAGAAAATAAGTAGGAATTTGAATTTTTCCTTTGCGACATTATAATTGCTGTTTATGGATGTTTCAGCAAATGTGTATTGAAAAATTTCATTTTTTAAATATTTTTTTCTAAAAAAAAGTTCAACTGGTGAGTCGCTATCAGGTCGTGCATTCGGCCAGCATGTAGTTTGAGTTTGAGACCATCGCGTAGACGTTAAGTCTTCTTGTATGTAGCATAAGTTTTAGGCATTTGCCTAAAACTTATGCTACATACAAGTCTGTTTAGTATTTGAATTCATTAGTACGTTTATTATAAGTTTGAATTTCTTAAAATAAATTCCCCGGAGTTTTTATTTCAAAATATGTTCAGCATTTCCATAAAAACATTAGAAACGTTATTTGTTTGATAAGGAAATGTATGTACCACATATAAGCACTATTTTATCAGCATAATGGAATGTTTTTTGTCAGAAAAATTCTTAGACTGAACTCCTAAAAAATAATTTATTCTGCTTATCAATTAGTGGTCCTATTCCTAGTCAAAGAAAAATGTGATCCTAGTCCTAGTACAAAGTAATCCCCTTTTTTTCTGTTTGTAACTGCTATTGTTTCTGAAGGTCACGGAAGTAAGAAGGCATTTAGATTGCTGCAAATTCCTCATGTAGAGATATTTCCACCTGAGAGGGTGGATCAGAGGGTGACCGAAGCATGAAGATACAGTCCAAACCATAGACATAGGAAGTAAACGTCTAACCTCTATAATCCAAACGGATGTTCTGAGAAGAATATAGGATGTTTGCTTCCATGACATCTAAAGTCCATGACAGCCAGTCGGGTGTTATAGGGGGCTTGCGCGAACCTTCTGTTGAACTTGCCTATAATTTTTGCGCGTGCCCCCTTTTTTTTTGGTTGTTTGCTTAAAACAAATAAAATAATTCTATATTAAAATCAAAAGAATTTGAAGGATTCCTTGCCGAAAAACAAGAATAAACTTCAAAAATTGCGTAAAAAATTATTTAAATACATCTCGATATCTTTACAAAATAGATTAATGCAGTAAAGTAATTATAAAATTAAAGATGAAAACGATGAAGAGCTGAACGAAAAAGAGTTAAAAGCAAATTTTTAATGTCTGTTAATATAGAAACATGGGAAATAGAAGGAGCAATAAATAGTATGCCCACGGTCAGAAGGAGAGAAAAATATAAGAAAAATTTAATTTCATATTAAAAGTTGAAACAAAAAGAAATGATTTTCGGAATTCTTTGAAATGGCTTTAACAGAAAAACTGCACGATCGAAATTCCTAACAGTAAAAAGAAATCCCAAGTGATTATAGAGATTATGGCTGTTAGCAGCGCTAAAGCTGAACGGGCTTTCAGCTCAATGAGCAATATTTCCAGAAGACCGTCTTTGACTGTACACTATACTATGAAATCTAATGACAGTACCCTTAAGCGAAAAACCTTTAGAGAATATAATTCTAAACATTACGTAAAAACTTTTACGAAAACATTTCTGGCATAAATTGCACTGCATAGTTAAATTTACTTTTTATTTTGTGAAATTTCTATGATATTTAATATATATATATTTTAAACTTTAAAAACTAAGTTTTTTTGAAGCTAAATTTTTTTTTTTTTTTTTTTTTGTTGTCTTGTCCATAGTATATGGAACAATCGATGCCAGCGCCTACTCAAGAGCGGTTGGACTTCTATTTTCCACCCCCAATTTTGAGGAAGAGTACTCAGGGGCTGCTCCCCTTCCACCAATCCGCACGAGAGGAATTTTGGCTCGCCTCATATTTAGAGTGCCGCCATGCCGCACCGACACTATACATTTACAAACATCCATGTTTTCTCCGGAATTCGAACTTGGATCGTTTGGTACCGTAGTAGGCTCCCCTTTTGAATGCGTTTTACAAATTAAAAACAGATAAATAAAAATTCTACTTGCATTTTATAATTTTTCTTGCAGTAGTTCCGGTCAGATAAGGTGTCAGATAAAAGCTTATAATTGATGTTAATATTCACCAACTGAATAATAATAGGCTTTTATTATATATATATATATATATGTGTGTGTATGTGTGTTGTGTGTGTGTGTGTGTGTGTGTAAATTTAATAATAACAGTATTTAAGAAATCTGAAATGATTTAATGAACATTCAGAGAGTTTATAGTTTTGCACTGCTTTTTCTCAGTTTGCATTTTTTTGACAAATCCTTTTACTTAATGCCCTAAAACTTACACAGATATGAACTAAATTATTTAATATTTTTAATGCTTGTTTAAAATTATATACTTAATAGAAACAAAAATGGGTTAAGCAAAATGTTGGAAAGAAAAAATTTGGAAATAAAAATGTATTTCCGAGTTTTTACATATAAATGTGCTTTTAATTTTTTTCTTGGAATTTAATTCATTAATTGCAAAATCGAATAGTAAAGTTATTAAGAACATTCTAATAAATACAACAAAAAAATTGGTGTATAAGCATAGAAAATTGTAGGAGGAGAAAAATTGAATTAAAAAAATTACCGGCAGAAACATTTGTTTCAGCGTATAATTATTTTGCCATAATCATCATATAATATTCATAAAAATAGATGAAATTTCTTAAATAAAAAAAAATTCATTTAACAGGTACCCAGTCCCTTTAACAAGTTTATACATACCACAGATATAATCTGGACAACAATGTCCAGCTCGTCTGACTGCTCGGCATCCTGGTTTCACTTCGCATTCTTTAAGAACACAAGCAAATCCTGGAGGTCTGCATTTACAAGCCTCGCAAGGATCATCCGTTGGAATTGGATCACCATTGAAGTAGACCGTGTTATCCACCACACATGCTATTCAAAATAATAATAACAGTTATCTAAGGTAATATTCAGTTAGAATTAGACTAGAGAGGCTAATGTGTGCCTTCAAATAAAAAATAATTAATGCAAACCGTTGAAAGTTATTTTGATGAAATCAGCCCATTGTTTGTAAAAAGAGAAGAGAAATTGGAGGATACGGTTTGAATTTGCCGCTAAAAATTTTTAATGGAAAATAAGTAAATGTGCTTTATAATCTACCTGTAAACAATTTTGGAAATTATAGTTTGAAAAAGACGCAAAAATAATTACAAAAATTGATACAGTGTTTCGAAGAAAATATAAGATGGTTTTAAGCAAAAACTCCATCCTGTCTTCTTCGGTAGCAAACAAGTAAAAGTAAAAACTCATCGTAGGAAGATTTAAGAAACTATTACATAGTACTACGGGGGAGGGGGAAGAGAGAGAGAAATAAATAAATAAAAAAAAATCTATTGCCGGAGAAGTTTTGTAATATTATTCTTACCATTTTCTCACTAGTTTGTTTAGTATATGTTTTCTTACATTTAAAATAGTTTGTAGTATTTAATAGGATAAAATTTAAATGAATGGACTATGTTTTGGAATATCCTATTTAAATTCGAAACAGGGTTGGTGCTCTAATACTAATGTTATGAAGGATGAAATGAAGATTTTCCTATTGTAAGAATTTCTCATTGGAAATTATATATCTTTTAAAATTAATGTCATTAATTAAAGTTTTGTTTTTCGAGTTTTTTTTTTGGGGGGGGGGAGACAGTTTATGGGATTCAGTCAGTAGAAAGAAATGGATAAAAAATCATGATCAACAATTCGTACTTTTCATACATTTTTCATGCTTTAGCTGTTTGGTTGGTTGTTTAATTACGGCAAAGCTTATGAGAAATGTTTGCTTTAGAAGGGATATCTTCGTGGAACACTTTCTGAAAACTGGTTTATAATATTTGTGTAACACATTGGAAATACTACGAAAACTCTTATGTAGACATTTCATTCCCTCGCAGCCATGAGGAGCCAGGAAATACGAAAGTTCAACAATATTCCAGCCAGGGTTTATTCCGAAGCCAGAAAGCACGTAATTTCAGCAATACTCTCTTCTGGTTTCGAACCACGGAGCTTCTGATTGCTCGCCAGACATGCTACTAGTTACACTACGAGAGAACGCACGGGGAATGCAATAATTCCTTTTTACGAACCAAGGCTGAACTAACAGTATTCATGGTTTTTATCCGCCCGGCATGACAGTTCATGACAGACAGTAACGCATGACAGTTCATAATAACCAAACCGAGGATCAACTACTGTGCTCACTGGTTTTATTTAGTTGGCATTTAGTCGATCTCAGCCACTGTACTATAGAAGAGTAAATATGAGCTTACTGCTAGGCAGTCGCAACTCATTTAGTGGCAACTCAGGGATTAAAGTTTATGGCATCATATTTCTTTAAACGCATTTAATATAAAGATTCTACTGAGAAATCAACATTGTGTTATAAATTATGCGAAAGCAAGGGGAAACGGGCAATCATGATTAAGTAACTGAGACATTGTCGTTCATTAATCTTGAAAATATTGGTATTATATGTTTGCTCTTTACATGGCTAAAATTTAGAAGATGTTGAACGTTTTGTTTAATAACAGCATGCACTGTTGATTAAATACGGCTTTGAAAATAAATATCGAATTCAAGAATTCGCATGGTAAGTACTTTAACGCAGCGTTTAATTTTGAGCTGGGGAAGAAAATGTTTTCTTCAATAGCCCTGACTTAAACCTTAATCTTTGGAGCTCTATTATCTGCTTGGAGTTTTCAATATTATTGGTCGTTTTAACTGCCATGTAAAGAAATTAGAATTTAATGTTACACAAAACCGCATTCAAATTTATGTTAAATATATTATAAGGATTTCTTTTAGTTTTACTAATTAGTTATTTGATATGAATTTACTTTACTATCTTTCTCGCTTCCCATTTTCCTGCCAGAATGTAAATTTCTAGTTCGCTTGTATTCGGATGAGGTAGAAAGGAGATCGTATTTAAAGGGAGGTTAATCAGAGCGTGTTTCGCCTGCTGAAAGCCATGTTTACTAATTGATCTCTTGAGAGCAGTATTCAGCGGCACTGCGTTATTCTCGCCGATTTTTGGTCCTAGCCAACTTACGGGTTTCTGTGTCTGTGTAGCCGTTGGATTAACTTACATTGGCTAATTTAAAGTCAAATTCATTTCTTTTGATTTAAATCATAAATGCTAGCTTGTCTTTAAGCACGAGCAGTGTTTTCTGTTAGACTTTTATTTGAATCAAATAAAAGGCTGTTTTACACCCTTTCTCAGTCTCTGTTGTACTTCAAAAGACGTAGTGCTAAGTCACTTAGGTCTTAGAAGTTCTCATCTATGTTACCAAAGAAGACAAGACTCCACAATCTTTATTTGCATAATTACAGATGCTAAATACTAGTTGTTGTGGAGAGAAACTTGCAATGTGGTACTGATAAATAGAATGCAAATTTTCAAAATAGACTTATACCTTAAACCACGTATTATCAGTCACCTGTTCTGTCTAAAAGTAAAAAATAATTTCTGTATACAGAAAGAGTGCAATAAATATTAGAATAATGACACAAATGTGATTATGAAAGTTGAGAGTTCATTTTAAGAACATATTTTTATAGTATTTAAAAATTTTAATACTTCCTTAAAAACCATATTTTAATGTATCTATTATTTATCTATTAGTAGAAAATGTACTATTATGAATTAGGAAATGCGTAATTATTAGTAGAAAAGTAAAGTTTTGTGACCATAGAAGTAATATGAAAAATGTAATAGATGCTAGATATTATGAATTGTTTACATTATTACGCATTGTTTATGCATAATTGTTTATAACACATTGTTAATAACAATTTTCTCTTAGATTTAAAGCTTTTTCAATGCGTTTAAAGGCTGTGTAATCGGATATGAAAATCGTTTCATATTTATTTTTTTAAACTTTATATTGTTATGATTTTATGTTTATAGAACTTACCTGTTTCATTTGCGATGTAGAATGCAGCTCTTTTCTGAATTCGCAAGGGACCTATAAATGATTAAAAGAACATTTATTTCTGAAATTGTTTCTTACTTTATTGCGAGTTAAAATTGCTGCTTAATGTATATTCACACTTAGAATTTTTCTATCTTTTAAAATCATTGTTATTATAAAATTTATAAATTATTCATTTTGAATTAAACTACAAGGATATTCAAAAGAAAATTGAAAAACTAAAAGGCTTCGAGAATATTAAATTAAGGATTGATGAAAAAAGTCTTTTTTAAAAAAATGCATTTTTTTTATCTTAAAGTTTATGTAAAATATTTTATCCACCTTTTTTTTTCTTTGCTTTTATAAGGTTTAATTAGCGTATTTGTCTATATGCCGTTACTAATTCTCAAACAAGGATGATGATTCTGAATTTCGGAGGAAATCTAGTAGATATATTGTCTTTTAGCTTTATTTGAATCATTATATCTCTACATTTAAACAACAAAATGCAAATTTTAACTTCGCGGCAACGCGATGATGCTTTTTACTAGGCAGATATGATTAAATGAGTTTAAATTTGATTTTATGTAGGAAAAAATTAAAAAAAAGCGACTTGAAGCTGATGACCATTTCTCTTTAGTGAATTTTGGTGATCAACGTTTCCCTAATCAAGGATATCTCTACACCTGAAATACTTGAATAATGAATGTGAATACAGAAGATTCGAATCTTGTAAGCGATCATTTTTAGATTTTGATAGGTTTACTCATAATTCGCCGCCTTTGCTTCGGAAGAGAGAGAACCTGCGACTCGAATTGAAAAACAATAATACAGATCAAAACAGGACAGAGATGAACAAGGTCAATGCAGAAATAAAACGAATCTATGTGCTACTCAAGAGGAGAAAGTGGATAGATACATGTGAGGGACTTGATGCTAGATCATCTGACACGAAACTGTGGAAATTTGATAAAAAATATTAGCAGTGAACAACCTCAGATTAAGAGATATAATACTATTTTAGATACGGATGGCAACATCCCTATAGACGATAAAGCTGCGGCTGATCTTCTCGAGGCACATTACCAGAAGATAAGTAATCTGACGTTTACAGAGGTTGATAAGAAAGTGGCAATAAGGTCTAGAGATCTTGCACATGGATGTCGTAGTACTGTCTCGGGCAATCCCCTTTTCTTTAAATCATTCTCCATGCATGAATTGGAGATGGCACTCGAGGATCTTGACCAAAACTCCTGACCTGATGTCATCCATGGACAAATGATTGGGCATCTTGGCGTTCATGCAAGAAAGAAATTTCTGAATATAGTGAATCAATCTTGGAGTCTTGGACGCCTTCCTAAAGAGTGGAAAAGAGCCACAATCATACTTCTTGCGAGACCTGGCCAAACCGATGGATCTCCTGGGAGCTTCAGACCCATTGCCCTAACCAGCATTGCATGTAAAGTCATGAAAAAAAAATGATTATGGGCGGTTGTTCTTCACCTGGATACCCATGACCTCCTACCAAAAGAACAATACGGTTTCAGAAGAGGTCATAGCACCACTGATCAATTGGTTTATCTCAGCCAGAAGATTAGAGATGCCCAAAACAAGCGACCTACCAATCATAGTATGGCTGCTTTTTTAGATTTATCAAAGACATTTGACCGTGTCTGGAAACATAAACTAATTATTAAACTCTACGAAGACTTTGGCATCAGGGGTAAAGCCTTGACCTGGATCGCAGATTTCTTGAGAAATAGACTGATAAAAGTAAAACTTAATTCTACTATGTCAAACACCTTTAAATTGAGCCAAGGCGTCTCCCAGGGTTCTGTGTTGAGCCCAATTCTTTTCTGTCTGTATTTGGCTGAAATTGAGAAGATTATATCAAGGAGATGTGAGGTTGGGCTATTTGCGGATGATATTGCCCTTTGGAGGTCTGGCCGCAAGATGTGAGTTCATTTGAGACCAATATAAATTTTATCCTTGAAGAAGTGTAGAAATTCTCGAAAGACCACAAATTGAGTTTTAATCCAACTAAACTATTGTTGTTTTTTTTTTACCGCCAATAGGAAGTTTTATAATTATCATCCAAAAGGTTTTGTGAATAACTTGCCTCTTACGTATGACAAACATCCCAAATATTTGGGCTTCGTTCTCGATCCAGAGATCACTAGTAACAAACCTGTGATGCTCTGGTTTTTAGGGGCAGAAAACGACTAAACATTTTAAAGTATATCTCGGGACGTGATTAGGAGCCAATGCTTGCACTTTGAGAACTACGTATTCAGCTATCATACGACCTATTTTGGAATACGGTTTCTCCGTTTACTCTTGTGCCTCTTCTACCAACCTCCAGAAATTGCAGAGTCCAACTTAGTGCTTCTCGTATTATAACTGGCCTACGCAACAGTTGCCCGAATAAAACTGCGTTCTATGAAACAGACCTTCAACCCCTTAGCCTAAGAAGAAATGCTGGCCTTGCAAAATATTATAATAAACTTTTCAGTTATGCCTCCCAAAATAGAACTGCAGAATTCCTGCAGCACTGGAGTAATAACCAAAGGCTTCAGAAAAATAGCCCACTTAGTCAAATTAAGTATGCTGGTATAATTAACCGTAATGTTGAGCAGCATTCCTTGAAACAATGCTTAGATCCGTCTGAGAGACTCCCTGGACTCCAGTTTCATACAGTTTTTTGTCTCGAGTTTCCAAGAAAAATGGTATTCCGGCTCTGTTACGACAATCTGCCTTAGAAACTATACACGCAATTTCCGCTGAAGCTACCCTTACTTATACTGATGGGAGTAAAAGCGAGGACTCTCCTTCCGGTAGTGGAGTTGTCATTAAAGGCACAAATGGAAATATTGTTAAAATAAAGAAATTCTGACTTCAGTTCGATTTTTAAGAGTGAGCTTATAGCGAGAGTGAGCGTTTAGTCCCTCGAAGAGGGAACTAAACGCTGTTTCGTCCTTTACAGATCTTAAGGCTGTATGGTTTTTGTCTGATAGTCGTAGCGCCATCCAATATCTTTCAAACTGGCGAAGAGTTGGTGATAGGACCGGAATTGCAATTCTTAGCAAGCTTAAGCAACTCTCGTCACTCTGTGAAGTGCGCTTTCAGTGGATTCCTTCCCATGTTGACATATGGGGGAATGAAATAGCAGACATTCTGGCGAAGGAGGGTTCTGAAGAACCATTACCAGTTACCAATTAATTGACATATCTTGAACTGTATGTCATTAGAAGATATGCAGACAGGCAAATTTGGCTCGTTCCCCCGAATCAACCCTGGTATCAAGCTGATTGCCCTGGAAGATCTCTTGCTATTGATTGCGATAGTTGTGTTCAGACAACACTTTCCCGATTCTTCAGTGGACACCTGAAAGGACTTACTTTTGAGAGAGGTCTCAAGATGCGCCCAATTTATTCTAAATGTCAAAATGCACCGGCATCACCGGCGCATATCCTTGAGCGCCTGGAGTTGTCTCTTGAGAACCTTTACGAGTCTCCTAAGCTTGTTTTCGATTTTCTGAAGGTGAATGGACTCGTGAACCTCGTCTAGTATATTCCTAGACATGGAGATTTAGTAACAACAAGAAGATTTTGATACCAAATTTAAAATGTTGGATATTATTGTTATCTCTTCTTTGGAAGATACCCAAGGAATGTAGTGCATCAAAAAATATTTGCTTGCTTAAAACTGACAGGTAACTTATTTAAGTTAATGTTAAGTATTTTTTAAGCAATCAAAAACTTGCTATAGATGGTTATTAGATTCTGCAGGAACATTGTTTCTTCATTTATTGTTTACAGATGATTTATGAAAATGGGACTGCATGCTTTGAAAATAATATGCACTATACTGATCGCTGCTTATGTGACATATTGTTTTACCTGATGCATAAAGTATTATGCTTATTTGAAATCATCTAGGTTTTGTACTGTAATTGATAATGCATATTTAGTCTACACAATGGTTTATGTATTCCTGGGATGAACACATCGTCAGTACAACTCAGTTGACTGAAATGGAACTGGAGAGGCTATTACTAAACTGAATTCACGTAGTATATACCTCCATCATAATGCTATACGATGCTTCGACATTACGCCAGAATTTTTAATGTTATAATAGATCCATTTTCTTTAATGAATGACAAGGAGCTCAAAATAAAATTAGCGTATTACATGAAAGCATGAAAGTAAAGTGTACCCGTTTCTGCAGTTTTCAATCCATTTATTTTATTTAAATCCGATCGTGTGTGTGTGTGTGTGTGATTATGGCAAAGCCTCGAGGGCTATCTGCCTAAGGGAAGGGATGCCTTCGTGGAGGACTTTCTAAGGGAAACTGGCTCCTATACACGTTACACATGGGCAAAACCACGAAAACGCCCATGCAGCCAGCCCGTTCGTGGGATCCGAACTACCAGTGTTCAGCGACTTTACCGCTCGGCCGCTGAATCCGATCGAAACGTCTAAGATGCACTTGGCGAAATATTGAATGTTCATCTATATATTTTCACATGTGGATGGTATTAAAAACATAATATAGGATTTCATACTAAAGGTCTTGGAAACTTATAAATTAAGAAACAACTAGAACTAGTTGTAGTAGAAAAACTCTTCATATTAAGAACAGAATGGCACAGAGCTTCAAGTAGCAAAATTACTGTATCTGCGTATTATCTTGGAAAATCTTGCTTTCAGTTTGTGAGTTCGTTCCACTGTATGCATTCGTTGAGTAAGTATATTACCCCCCCCCGAAAAAAAGCATATTCATGGAATACAGGAAATTTTCCTTGCAGATAACGATCAACGAGCTATTTACCTTTATTACGACTACTTTTGTAGAGCTAATGAATTTTCTGTTAATCTGCACTTGATAATTTTTAGTATGATTTTTTAAACGGTTTAAAGTAGTTTAGTTTCTATCAAATTGGCTGAGGAGACACAAGGGATTGTCTTTAATTCTTGGACACCAATTTATATGCTCCAGTAAAAAAAAAAAAAAAAAAAAAAAAAAAAAAAAAAAAAAAAAAGTAGCAAACGTGAATGTTACATTAATGTCTTTTTTTTTCTACTTCGATTAATAAAGAAATTTTTATTTCTCTCTTTATCTATAAAATTACCTTTTTGCTCAAATATGTTATAAATGAGAAAATTTAATGTGCTATTGATTCTATGATGTAACATAAAAAATGACGTTAAAAAAAGAATTACGAGCTTCTAACAAAATCTTTTGCTTAAAAACGAAATGGGGATAGAAGCGTGTATATTCTTAAATTATTATGTATACCGAAACAAGCCAGAGAGAAGGGGATCATAGTTTTTATTATTTACCTTTGTCTATCATCATAGAATGCACCATGACTTTTAGGTCTTCGTTGCTCAAATTTTATAAATATAAAAATTTAAAAATGTAAAATTTTCACTTTAAAATAGTTCTCTGAAATATTTTTTGTCAAAATGAGTCATCATTTCCTTCAACATGAGAATACCTCCAATTTGAAGCTTACTCAAACCGTAAAACCATGACCTTAACCATAACTGTCTGACCGATTCCATAAAATGCGAAATACCTAGAACAGTTTTTTGGGAAGGTTGTTTAGCAGGAATGGCAGGAGCGAAGAAACGTGCGAGTTCATTCTCCTCGTCCTCCCTCTTCAAAAAAGATATCCGAGACCCTCCACGCAATTTTTCAAGGACAACATTGAGCGCTTTGGGTACGTTAGGATGACGACCTCAGAACTTATGCCACTGACTTTCTGTTGCTTCATACCTCCAATGGCCCGAAGCTAAATACGAGACAACAAAATACTTTCATCATGCCAGATATGGCGATTGGGGGAAGGAGTTACTACGAGACTTGCATAAACTTTCCCTAATTACCTAATATTTGAATAAAAGTATACGTTCGAAGATTGTGATTTAAAAGGCAGCGAGATATTTCATTTATGGCATTGAATTTCATTCATTGTGTTCATTCAGCTTATTTTAAAATGTGGAGCAGCTAAATGTCATTCTTTAATTTTTAATCGCTGTATAAATAAAAGGATATTTAAGAATTTTTCAAGATTTGAAATTTTCAAAGATATTTAAAAGGTTACAGCCCTCGAGCTATGTTTAGAGCTAATTTTAAATTAAGCTGTTTCCAGAAATGAAACTAGTTTCGATGAATCGATTGGCAAGCATCACGTAATTAAATGGAATTTCAGTTATTCAATTTAAACTATCGTTTAATCTTTCAACTTTTACTGGTGTGGATTGCTTTTAGTTACTCAGATGAATTGTTCAATGACCAGTAGCAAAATATTAATTATTATTATTAATATTATTATTATTGTGTTTTATGCAAAAATAAATGTACCATAACTTTACGAAGAATTATTTTTAGAACATTTGAAAAATGAAGATTACATTATCTTTTTTTTTTTTTCGTTTAGGTATAGACATTTTACTGTTCCTTTATAGAACAGGAGAAATGATATTGTGACATTTCGTTTAACATGTGATTATTATTTGTTATATAAATAATTCTTTCTTTTTCGTTTCATTTTAATCGCATAATTGATTTTTATTTATATTTGCAGTTGTTACATTTAACGTGATTAAAGGATTTAATTATTATTTGATGATTATAAGGTAAGATAATAATTAATTAATAAATAAATAAAAGAGTATTATAGAAATATAAGAATCAAATCAAATTAGATTTATATGTTATGTACAAGAAATTATTATGAAAGTTTTCTATCATTTTATGTAAAAATTCTTAAAAGGAAAGTCGAATTTAACGCAAATCAAGTTATATGTAATAAAATGAACTAATTATTATCAAAATATAAAAGCCTTTTTTATAGGAATATGGCACTTTCTGTTGGTAAAGTGTAAAAAATATGGAATTGAATTTAGGAAACTATTTCGATAGTTTTTATATTTCAAAACAAATTAATCATTTTTTTTTATTATTATTTTATCTTTAAGCTTTAACATTTCGAAGCCTCTGAAACAACTTTCTATTTTTATGAAATGCTTACGACCGAACATCATAGGCTATATTTGGAAGGAGGCAGTACAACTGATTTAATAGACTTCATAAAAGGAAATAAAAATGAAAGAACTGCTTTTAAAGTTCAGCATGAAATTTTAGCAATAGAAACAAATAGAAATTACTGAAGTTTTACTTCATTGTTTTTCACATACATTTGATATAAACATTCCCACTAACGTCGCTTCACTAATGATGCGTTTATTTTCTTACAACAAAGAAGTTCAATACATGTTCTATTCTGAAACCTTTTTCTCTTTTCTTTTGTCTCACAAAAATACGCGACAGAAAATTATAAACTTGTTAAATTTCTATTTTTTCTGTTTTTAGTTAACAGAGGATAATTTTATTCTATTAACTGACTCGATTTTTTTTTAATTGTAAGGCGAAAATATAATAAGAACAATCTTATTATGCTTAAAATATGCGAGAACAAATAAGGGTTTCTTATTATAAGACAAATTTGAGTTTTATGATTGACAGAATTTTACATTTTAAAACTAAAGATATTGGTTTACTTCATCTTTCATGTGTTAAGTTGGAATCTAAAACACAGAGTTAGAAATTGTTTTTAATTTTGGAACTTATATATATATATGTGTGTGTGTGTGTGTGTGAACACATTTATCATTATTTTTTCAAGCTTCAATTCTGGTAATGAATTAAGAAAAACTTTTTTTTCTGTATTTACTTTATTTTATTTAAAAATTTAATTATTAAAGGAAATTCATCAAAGGTTGGGGGTCTGAAGTGCAATCTGATATTTGAATGCTTGCTGATTACTGTTTAATGATGACTAAATAAGCACGTGAAAGTCGATTTTTTTCAACTATCCTTCTGCCTTAGCTGAATTGTTGAATTTTTTATTTTGTTGCCCCCCCCCGAAAAAAAAAAGTTCTGCATGATATAGTGAATCTGAGTTAAATACTTCTTCGATATACATTTATCTACTTATTTGATTTAGCAATATAAATGAAACATGAAAATTCTCTTGTGACTATTAATAATAGTAAAAAAAATCGTCTTTCTAAAATGCTGTCATAATCATTGTTTACGCAGCCCAAAAATAAAGCGAGGAAGTGAAGCTTTCTTAAAAGGAAAGTAAAATTTTTAAAAATAAAGGATTGTGTGTTTTTTTTAACATTATTTTGTTAACTTTCTGATTAACAGGAAAAGAACTATTCATTGCTTTCTTAGAAATCTCAACTCTTCCGATTTCGGAAAGAGATTCCGGATTTTCAACCTTACTACTCCTTGCCCCATTTATAACGTGTTTCTCGCGGTATTCTGTTATTTTTAAATTTCGTTATTTGTTTTAATATTTCGTTATTTGTGCCCCCAAACTTGATTCCTGGTGTCTAAAATCGGTTTATTTTTCTCTACATTGATTATCCATGAAATGATATTATCGCTATGCATGTGAGAGCAATTGTGTGTCCAGTTCTCCAGCGAAGCCGATGCTACTCAGAGTATAAACCAAGATCGTTGCGTTTCTGTCGTCACTAAACGATTGTTTCTGGTGCTTCAAGAAATAGCTTAAGAATTTGTAAAATTATGTCTTACTTAAGTTTGTGAGAAAAGTAAAGTTCAAAAATACTTTCAAAATTTCGTTTGATAGAAAAGCCGATGTTTTTAAATATGCTCATTTCGTTGAAAAAAATTTTGTTCTGATAATTTTGTTCTGATAATTTTTTTTTTTTTTTTAGAGAAATATTTTTGTATTCCCGATTTCTGAAAAAATATTTCGATTTTTGTGTTAATAGGCTGGTATCTCTGCTTTCGAAATGCTCATCCTCAAACCATATTACGTCTTCCCAAGATGCATTGTTTCTAATTTTTAATGCTTTCTCAATATCTAAGTAATTCGACGGGGTTTCGATTTCCTGTCATTGTTCTTGAAGAATTTATATATTTATTTGGTAAAATAGGAGTCATTAAAAAAAATTAAAACTTACTAGTTTCGCTGAGATGCAAAGTTGCAGCAACCACCAAGCCAGTGACAACGAATATCTTAATCATGTTAACCTGAAAACAAAAATACAACCAATTTCAATTTAAAAATAAATTTTTGATTCTAACACTATATTCGAACATTTGTTACTATAATGTGTAATTTAAGAATTGACATTATCGTAATTTTTTTGTATTTTCTTAAACATATGATAATTAAAAGTTAGCCCCATGCACACGTATACTTTTAATATTAATTTCATTATTACTCGAATTGTCTTTGCTTTTGCCAATAATAACAATTTCATGACATATTTAAAGCATTGCAACATTTATAGCTTTTAACTTGATTAATGAAAATTTAATTTTTTAAAACATTAATGTAATTTCTCAATTATGTTCCTTTTCTTTGAGTAACTAGATGTAATAAATTAGTTATTAGCTAAGGAATAACTTAGCTAAATGTCTCTCTTTTGAAATACAATTTCATGACATATTTAAAGCATTGCAACATTTATAGCTTTTAACTTGATTAATGAAAATTTAATTTTTTAAAACATTAATGTAATTTCTCAATTATGTTCCTTTTCTTTGAGTAACTAGATGTAATAAATTAGTTATTAGCTAAGGAATAACTTAGCTAAATGTCTCTCTTTTGAAATATATTGATTAAATGACTATAAATAAATGAAGAGAAGAGCTCGTGTCAGAATAGATGGTACGATTGTGGTACGATAGCAATGAAAATAGGATAGATGGTACTTATTCGTGCGGGAGAGTTAAATCTATTGAGTTAGGATATCACTCGTTATGGCATAGCAACCTTACTGAGCTAATCAAAATCTTTTGGAGGAATGATCCAAAGTTGCGTTAGCGGGGGTCAAATACTAGTAACTCGTAGTTGTTTTCGTCAGCTTTTTCAAGCGACTACTCAATGCGTTATGACGATTTAGTTGTATGGTGTTAAATAATACTAGTGTAAATAGATACAATTACAAAGCTTCCTGAGCTTTGATCGGTAAATGAGTTTGTGTGAACTTAAATGAGATCATAAAATATATAGTATATATAAAGTATAAAATCAATATAGAATCTAAATTTTATTCTTTTAAAGAAATCTAACTGCTGCACACTCGCTGGTTAAGCATTTGTTGGGAATCATGGCGGAAAACATCAGTCATTAAGAGGTCACATCAATGACAATGTTGTCCAAAATGAGTGACCGATGTTGCAACCGCTAAACAACAAGCGTGATAGCACCTCCCGTTTCGGACTAGCAGCCAGCCGTACGTCGTACCATCCAAAGTGACTATACCAGGGGTTCTCAACCTTTTTGTCCCTATGAGCACATTCGAGAGTATCTGTTGGACGGAAGAAGTTGATAATACATGCGAAAAAAAAAAAAAAAAAATCGGTCGCATTTTGCTTTGTGCTGGTATCTGTGTTGAACGTAATTCCTATTTCATTAACAAAAGAGAAAACTTTCGCACTGAATTTTATTGAAAACTAAAACATTTTTACTGTGATCGTACAGCTGCGGGCACACGTTAAACGATCGGCTGGCGCCATGGTGCCCGTGGACATAGTGTTGGGAACCCCTGGACTATACTATTAGAGATACATAGTCGTATATATATATATGTATGTATAACTAACTAACTAGCTATGTGGAAATTTTCCTGTTTTGGATGTTAAGCAAAGAAGTTCGTTTAAGGTCAGCAACGTGCATTTTACTGAAAATTTCAAGTATTATTTTTAGTCGTTGTATTGTAGTATGTTATATTATTATTTGTAACGGCTAGTTTTTTTTAGTTGCTATATTTTCTAATTAATCAAGAAATAGAAAAATCGAACTACCTGTGTAAGTGACATATTTCATAGTGAAATAACATTTGGTAATAACATTTTGGCACCTACACAGTATGTGTTGTAAAGTACATTTCCTCTGTTGAAGCAGATGACGTAACTGCATAAGAAGGTTATTCAAGAGTCCTACAAAAGACTTTGTGTTATGCTTTGGGCAGGAAAGCGCATATACGATGTCAAATCCTTTTAAATATGCGAACTTGTCATACTGAACATGTCATATTTCAGCTGAACATGTCATACTGAAAGAGTTAGCTTCTATATATCGTAATAACTAGAGTAATTAACATTTAGCATGTGTGCAACAAATTTTGTTTTTCTTTGATATATGAACCGCCAGTACCTTAAATGATGGAAAACCTTGAATGCCATTTACTCGAGTGCTAGAAATTTATTGCTTATACGAAAGACCCAGCGTTTGAATTTCACATAAAACCTCTTGTAACAAATACCGACTGTGATCTATATTCCATTGTTTCGAAAGCTTCTAGCGTGCTTTCAGAAATTTACGTTTCATAGCTTTTGATGATCATTTATGCAATGCAGATATAAAATTATGTGACCTTGATAAAGAAAGTTAATTAGTAACGCATTGTAAATGCATAAAATTTATCCTTTAGGGTTTGAAGAAAAGAGAACATAGCTGTAGCTATACTTTGAACTATGGGAAGATTGAGTAGAAAATTTATTTTGCTAATGGAAATGCAAAATTTCTGTATTATCTAAAAGGTTTTGATAATTAAGCTAAAATTAAAGCCAGATGTTACATTTATTGACCATGAGAGAAATGCTTATGATTTTTTACAATTGTAAATCCCATTTTGGAACGTTTGTTTAATAATCATCATCTATTAAAGACGAAAACTATTTTAATAAATTTTGTAAGGTATTTCCCCCGCCTTTCTAGCGTGCCTTCGTGGTGTAGTGGTCAGCAAAATGAGCCGGTATTTCAGAGGTCCGTGGTTCGATTCCCGGCGAAGGCGTTGCTAATTTTTCATCTCTTCTGCTTCCAAAAATCACTAATGTCTCTATAGTGGCGCCCGAACTAAAAGGGTTGGGGATGATGACTCTCCACACCCAGGATTTGGCGATTGGGTCCCCTAAAATCTCCAGTCGCCCTTTAAAAGGGGGAGTATGTAAGGTATTTCTCCCGCCTTCCTAGCATGCCTTCGTGGTGTAGTGGTCAGCACACTGAGCCGGTATTTCAGAGGTCGTGGTTCGATTCCTGGCGAAGGCGTTGCTAATTTTTCATCTCTTCTGCTTCCAATTAACCTAATGACTCTACAATTTTACTACGATGAAAAATGAATTGGTTTCTATATTGAAAATGCCCCAGTCAGTTAGACCAGCTGCATCCATGACATACACATTTTTTTCCTCATCGCCTTTTCTAATGCAAGATAGTGCATAACATTATTTTTATCTACATTAAACTAAATTATGCTTTTACTTTACCACATTGCCTGTCCCTTTTAATTAGCTACTCCATTTACAGTCATTATAATATATTTCGGCTAAATTACCTAATCTAGTATCTGTAATTACTCTGAATTCAAGTTAAATAAAGGTGGATGCATAGTTTAAAACTAGGAAAAGTTTCTGAGGTATTTTTATGATGACTATTTTATCTTTAATCATTTAATATTTAATTGACAGCTGTTTTTCGATTTTCACGGAAGGTTTAAAATAGGGTGCCTCTATAAAGATATACAGTGCGCTTACAAAGTCTAAATTGAATTATTTCTCCAAAACCTATATAGCTGCTAAATGATTATCTAGTTGTAGAAATGAATAATTTTGTTCTTGTCAATGCTATTGGTAATGATTACATATTAAAAATATTTTTTGTTTTATTAAAAGATTTCAACAGAAATTTTTTATTTTAATATCATGCAACTATTTCTTATTATGGAATCAAGGAAAGACTTAATAATGAGAAATAATAGTGTTCTCATTGCACAAGGCTACTATCTTAACAAGCAATTTATTGTCAACGCCCCTAACGCAAGTTGCTAATAATCACAGCACAACGTGTCCTGGAATAAGCAGACACACTCTAAAACTAACTTCCGGAACTCTTGCTTAAATATCACTTCATTCTAATTTAACTGAATAAACTTTCGCTAACTCATTCACATTCTGGCATGAAAAGCATGGGTGAAAAGTGAGAAATAGGAAAGTCTTTCAACTTAAAATGAACTATTAGTTAAAAATAAATAAATAAACCTCGCAACTTTAAAATTATAAAATTACCAAGTGGAAAACTGACCAAATGGAGAGCAGAATAGGAACGGCTTCTTAATGAAGACCATGACCCACTTCGTAACCGTTTTATCCGTAGAAGATGAAATTGTTATGAATATTTCAAGATGGTTTATGGGAAGTTTCGCAAAATTTTTCTGTCGCACTTCTCTTGAAAGTTTACGCAAATCTAATAAAAGTACTGTTTTTTTTTTAAATGGCTAGAGGTTTGGGATTTTGATTAATTTTTATCACGAATGATGATAGTAAACTTCAGTTTCAACGCACTTCGAGGAAGGCTCCTGAGAAATGTTTCTTATTCTTTTCAATTCAATGTATAAAAACAGGCATTAAACTTAGTTGAAGATATATATTGTTCCATTTTATGATAAATCCGATGTAAATATATACCTCTTTGGAAACTTTTTCCTATTTTTTCTTCTTTCTCATGCCAAATTTTGTCACCCTGATTAAAAAAAAAAAAAAAAAAAAAAAAAAAAAAATTCCTGTGTTGTAATTCTTGAGGAAATTTTCTTGTTATCTTTGATTCTGGAAATTTCCCTTTCGAACAAAAAGCAGATAACACCATACAATCAAGGATACCATAATTAATAGAGAGGAATAAGCTGTTTCATATACTTTTCTTCACTCATTCAAATCCTTAACTGTGATTACATTTGCGTGACTATCTGCCGAAGGTTGACAGTTCTTGTTTGGTAGTAGAAATGTAAAATCTGCATTACTTTCATTCCAACCTGTGCATTCCGCTTTGATGCTCGTGCAGGAAATTGCAACATTCTAATTTTATCGCAAAAGAAATTATGCAATACGTGTTTACCTTATTATAGGACTTGCAGGCATAATTTCGCAAATTTAATTGACGGTAAAATAGGAAATACTTCTATCGTTAAAACTTAGGAACGCGTATCAGCGGTTAATGCATCAGAGAAATAAGCATTTTTGTAAAG